CAAAGGATGACCTTGGCTTCTAGTAAAGTATAAAAACAATACATTCCACAATCTCACTCCTGTCTATTCCCCCCTCCCATCAATTATACTAAAAAAAAACAGCATAATGAAATAAGAGAAAGTGTGGCAGGCCAAAATTCTAAAAGGAATATAATTGCAGGCCTGACAGTAAACATGATGGAATATGCATCATGGCATCATGACATCATGGTGCAAGGTCTACCCTTTTGGATTGTGTCATGGCATCACAGTCAGGCAAGAAATGGGGCTTTGCATCATTGTGTTGTAGTCCCCGTTTCTGCAATTGTCTGCCAGTCTCGGGTGCATTTAAGAACTGTTATATTCAGTAAATCAGAGTCATGCCATGTCCTGATATGACATGTGAGTGCAGCCCCTGAAAATTAAGCAGGATAGTATTGTAATGATATGGGAAAGCTCTTGCAACAATGCCTTTCCAAGGATTGAGTTGCATTGTGGCCCCTTGGTGCAGCTTTCTTTGCATAATTCTTGTTTAATTCAGTGGGATAGCTCCTGAATAAATGTCCATAGATAGGAGATTCAAAGAGGTAACTAGCATTTAAGAAATTTCTGCAGGAGGAAAATGGTGCTCAGAAAACTATAAATTACGGTAGGTACCTGCATGCAGCAAGCCAAACCCCCCAGTTGAATTCAATAGAGTTGAGAAAACGTGTATAACAGTGGGCTACAAATCCTTCACCATTTGAGGCACAACAGATTTAGGGTGTGATCTTATTTTTCAATGAGAATAAAACTCAGGGATGAAATGTAGGGTTTTTGCAGTTAAAAGTCTGCAGATCTGGAATTATTCAATAGGTAACAATATAAGCAGATTTACGTAGTAATCAGGCAGATATTTTCTATTTCACTATTGTACTTTTAGAATAATAGATTTAAATTGCTTCATTTTATTTTTCTCTTGTACCAAGGTCTTGTTTATTCTGGCCAAACAAATGCTAGAATTCAGAGCAAAGATCAAAACTTGCGGCATTTTTGTAGGGCAATCCTGATCCAGTATCAAATTCCAGAATAAATTCTATTAAGTCTGGGCTGCTTCCAGGAGAACATACATTGTGAAATCATTAGATTCAGAAATGTTCTTTTGTGTTTTCCTAGAAACTTCACTTTCCCCCTCCGTACTGGGAGGAATCTGACTTCAATGGAAGACAGAAAGTTTATAGTCTTAATTTATTAACTTCTAATTAAAATTTAAAAAATCTGATCATCAGCACTGCAGGTAGTCCTCAATTTATTACCACAATTGAGGCCAGAATTTATATTGCCAAGCAAGATCAGTGAGTCATGGCTGATTTTATGACCATTTTTTTTACAACTGTTGTTAAGTGAGCTGTGTAGTCATTAATTAAATCCAGCTTCTCCCATTCGCTTTGCTTGTCAGAGTAAGATTCACATCTTAATACAGAAGATTCTCAAACTGAATATAAAACCAGAAAATTTTCTTCTGGGTTTAATGGAAAAAGATTTGGAAGGGGTTTTTTTTGGGGGGGGAGGCACTTTAAGGTTATATACTGTATATTGATAGTAGCAAGATTATGCACAAAAATGGAAGGACGCTGATTCCTACAAAGGATGAATGGTTGCAAAAGTTGATGAAGTTAGCAGAGATGGCCAAATTGACTGCTTTGATTAAAGAAAAGAAATACATTTCCTTTGTATGGTTCCTTTGGTTCCCTTGACTGGAACCAAAGTGCAAAACTTGGACAACTAAAGAAAATCAACAAATCCTCAAATATTACTATCAGGCAGAATCAACAGCCAGGGGATTTAAAAAAAGAATGATGCAACTGTGGAAGGAACAATACCTGGAATGTGACATAACTGAACAAAGATTAATGGATCAAAGGCGCTTCATCATCCGTAATAAAGTTTTCACAGAAGCTGAAATGCAACATCTAGAAATATTGGCTAAAAAGAAAACAACAAGTGATGATGAACAAGTTGAAGAAATTAGTCCAACAACTGAACAAATTGACCAGTCAGTGGAANCCACTGGTCCAAGGCTCAGGCGCCTCCTGGTGGCCAACCAGCCTCTCTGCGCCCTGCTCGGATTCGGAACCCTGTCCAGGGTCCTCTACATCCTCCAGAGCCGACTGATAGGGCCCCTCGCTGTCGGAGTCTGGTGGCAGCTCCAACGGCTCCTGCTGGGCCACAACAGTAATACAACTTGCATTAGTGAGAATATTCTCAAAGCTGTATAATTATTTATCAAGCCACCTCACAGGGTTGCTGTTGTGGGGAAAATAGGTGTCAGGAATATTAGATCTACTCACCAGACACACAAGCACACACACAAACACACAAAGAAAGAAAGAGAGAGAAATAATAGGGAGGGGGGGGGTGTTAAAAATCGAATCATCATAATCCCATACGGCTCTTTATTCCAAAATGGAGAGAAGATAATTTGTAGGCAAGACACTCATTTTTCATTTTTATGGTTTTTGTTCTTTGAGATCATTGTAGAAGATATGGGGTTATTTGGAAATGACTGGGCAACATTTTTATTTTAAGATTTGCTTATCTAGCAGTGGAATTTGACAAGAAGACCTCCAAGGTCTTTCCCAACTCTATTAATCTGTTATTTATTTGATATATACCAGTAGTATTTATTTAATACATTGATGTTTAATCCAGAATATAGTTTCTTAACTAATTTATATCTTCTGCCTCTACTTTTTTTGCATACATGCTGTATATTTTAGCTATTATTTTTAACTTAACATAGTGTTTGGATTCAGCTCTGAAAAAATATTGTTTTAAAGGACAGCATGTACATTTTAAAAGTAGAAATAATGTATTATAACAGTGAAGTGGTGGTTATACTCTGCCGTGAAAGTTCCTGAATGATGCTATCATCTATTTTAAATTAAATAAATTCATGCATGAATAATTTAAAAAAAAAACAGGCTTTACAAAAGAGGGTATCTGAAATGCTCTATAATATGATCTCCTCTTTCTCTCACAGATTTGGGGACTGTGCATAAATGGCACATCATCCTGATATAAAGACAAATGTGTTGACACGATACAATATTTCTCTCTTTATTGCAACATTATGTATTGTGTAGATCTTTGGACTGTGTTATAAACATGATCAACACTGTACTGTACCAGAGCTGTGTGAAAATACAAGCACGTAGCCTGGGCCCACTAACCTCCGAAAACATTTTTTATAGCTCCCCAAACTCTCAAAAATTATGCTTTCACATTTCAGGGGCTCAATGCCAAGAAATAAATGCTATTTCCCGTTGTTTTTCAGCTGTCCTGTATATGCACGAAAGAGCAGAAGCTGCAAATTTTTTCCCATGGAAGCTGCAGTTATGTTGTAAAAATACTGCGTTTTCCTACGACTCAAATGTATACTTTTTAAAAATATCGTAGTACAAATGCCTTTTAAAAAGTCCCAAGGAGTGTACACTGTTTTTGTGCTTGCTAGAACATTGCAAGGAATGTGATTGAGCAAGAATCTCGGTGCCTATTAAGGCTTCCAACAGGACACTGCTATCTCTCTTGATTTTTGCCCCCCCCTTTTTTGTCTTTCTTTTATGTTGTGATAACAATTATTGGAGGCCATATGCTCTCCTATTAAGTAATAATATTTTGTCATCCATTCAGTATCTTTTTTTAAAGTGACAAACTGTTACAAGAGTCCCTGCTTTCTCCTAAAGATGATTCTCCCTCTCTCTCTCTCTCTCTCTTTCTCTCTCTCTTACTACTACTACTACTACTACTACTACTACTACTACTACTACTACTACTACTACAACAACACTTCCTGTCATGACTTTTAATTGGCCAAAATTGTGCCTCATAGGGCAACAAATTTTAGTCATAAATAGTCAGAAACCTTGCCAAACTATAAAGCAACGATTTGAACCACTTTAGATATACACCGAGAATTGCTAGGGAGGATCCTTAACTCTTTCTCTAAACCACACTGTCTAAGCTTCACTTTCTCCCTGACAATGAAATGCAGTCCTTCCGTCCTGAGAATCCAGGCCTCCAGACCACATTCCACTACAGTTCCCCATCCAGTCTTGTAATCCCTCTCTCTCACACACCCCCAGCAGACACTTACTTGCCTGTTTGGGATGGGAGGTTTCCAGTGCTCTCTGCCAGATTCCCACAGATTCAGTGGGGAAGCTGGCGGGAAGCAGTGCCCCTGCTCCCACTGCTTTTTCACGCACTCTTGGTCATTCTGTTTCTCTGTTTCTGTAAGAAAGTATCTCTGAAATGATGACCCAACAGGGCATGAGTGTCCAGTAGCCTTTAATTCCTTGTAGGTATTACATTCTAATTCTAATTCATTCTCCCTCCCTCCCTCCCTCCCTCCCTCCCTCCCCCCTTCCTGCATCCTGTTTAAAATGGGGGCAAGATAGAAACAGCCTCGTGTGATACTGACTCTGTTACATTACATGGGCACTGGTTAATATACTTTTTTTTTTGCTAAATATTACAAAGATTTATTTTCAAGTCCCATGGATTTGGATGAAACAAATCCCAAAGTATTACATTTATCCTCATATGGATGATTGTTACTGAATAAGAGTTTTCCTTGCTGGAGATGCACAACACCTCCCATATTTTCTCTGAAGGATTACTTAATAGGGAGAATATTAATATGGGGATCATATTGAGGGCTCACCATGAATGGAGGATTCCATTCTCCATGTAGCTTAATGTACAACTTGTTTAGAATTGTGCATGTGATAGATATCTTTGTAATTATCCCCAGCCTACTGCTATTACTTGTTGCATTCCCTCCTAATTGTCAGAATAATGTCTACTTGATATAAACAAAGGTTCATTGTATTTCCCTCACCAGCACCTTTTGCATTGGTTATTGAATGGCGAACATTTTACAGAAATGAAAAGAATCTTTTCAACATGCTGTGTTATGTTGAACATCAAATAATTGTGACAGAGATCGAACTGACATTTCCTTGTTTGATTTCCTCTAACAGATGATTCAAGAGAGCAAGCTTCTTGTAGAAACAGCAGATACTGTTTACGACAAAATCATTCAGTGTCAGAAAGCAGGTAACACTCTTAGATTAATGTGTATTTTAATACATTTTATCTATGTCCAAAAACTGTATGTATCATAAGGAGCTCAACATTTCATAATAGATTTGCACTACCACGGGGCATTACATTTTTAAAACTTGGATTTGAGAATTTATTTATTTTTTTGATTTCTACATCAGTTTTCTTAGCACATTTTTTTTTATTTTTTACAATGGTAGTAGTTAAAGAATTGGAGGTGAGGTGGGGTGGACATTTTCTCAAAAAGTGTGTTTTTATAATTTGTCCTGAGAAGTTCAGAAGTTAAGAAGGTCACTTAAATACGAGCCAGCAGTGTGCAGCAGCAGCCAACAAGGCTAATATAATGGTTGTATAAACAGAGGCATAGAATCAAAATCATGTGAAATATTAGTACTGCTTTATAAAGCCTTAGTAAAGCCACACCTGGAATACTGCATCCAGTTTTGGTCACGTTACAAAAAAGATGTTGAGACTTTGGAAAAAGTACAAAGAAGAAGTGCTAAGTGCAAATATTAGTAAAGGCCTGGAGTCTAAAACATATGAAGAAGGGTTGCAGGATTTGGATTTGTCTAGTCTAGCGAAAAGAAGTAGTAAGGGCAGTGGTGGGTTTCAAATTTTTTTTGAACCTTCTCTGTGGGTGTGGCCTCCTTTGTGGGAGTGGCTTGCCGGCCATGTGACCTGGTGGGAGTGGCTTGC